ATGTAAACCAGGATAACAGTTATGAATGTCAGTCTACATGCCAATACAGTAACTAACAACATTTCAAGTTAGGATCCCTAATATTTTTCTCTGTGAAACTTATGAACGAGTGAGCAAACAAACCCATTTGAAGTAGAATGCTTTTGGAATGTCCATATTGTATTTAAGAAATATTCTGCAATATTGAATGTGTAGTTTAATTCCATGCAGGGGAGGACAAAACATGCTGCTTCAATTTGTATTACTCTTATATCATTGCAGAGCATACCGGTGTGTAAACTGCCTATGCCACACTTCTCACTGTATTACAAATGTCAAGGATAACTTGTTTATTTTAAGATCTTAAACAGGCAAGGGTGGTCTTGGTTGTTCTGTCTTAATGTGACAACCCTACCACAGCACATATACTCTATTTTTCTAGTTTCTGAGGTTTAACTATTTGTTTGACACATTAATGTTAATTCAGTCAACATCAGTACCATCCATTTTAATTTGTATACATTATCTTTTATAATTTAATATATTTGAGTATCAGTCTAAATAGACTATTTTGCAATAACTAGAATAAGATTTACATTTCTTTTATTCAGAGTTAATTTCTTAACAATTTCTAATCAAAGATGCAGAATGGCTGTTATATAAGGGACCATCAAATGTGATTTTAAGCTTTTTGTTCACTATTAGGGATGTAATCCTTATAAATTTAATTTTGTAAAGTAGTGTATAATATTGTAATATTAAATCCTTGTTTTCTGAAACTCAGACACAGATCTTCAGCATGAAGTTATAAATCTTGCCCCTTCTGAATCTGAGACAGGATTTACTTGTCCTCCTTTTTACAGTTTGTAATTTTCACTGTTTTATTCCTGTAAAAAGTCATTTGTAACACATGCAAATGCTTATTTTATCTGTGCTAATTTAAAAGATTTGGCTACTCAATAAAACTAATTGAAAGTGCTCACAAAAGTCCATCAGTCCTTTAATTAATAAACAGAAGTGGGATTCCATATTTGACCAATCACTGGGTGACATTTTTTCCCATTGGTTGCATTAGTAACTTCAGTAACGGTAATTGCATAGCTAAAGGAAAAAATTGTAACTTGCTAAAATTGTCAATCTGTAAATGGTACAAAGATTGGGGGATTTCATATTTCAGGAGAAAAAGATGGAAGCATTTCTGTTACGTAATTGCAATCACTGGCAAAATTCCACTTTGTTACTGCACAATATTTATAATCAACTTCAAACAAGGAAAAATCAGATGTACTGGCTTTTGCGCCGAGGCATTTGATGACTGTCACTGTAAATTTTTTTCTTAGAGTAAAGCAAGTGTTTTTGGGACACAATTAGTAGCTCCATCTCCAGTGTGCAGCATGGTGGCAGAAAAACTTAAGTATTGACAAATGCAAAGATAAATGTATCACTAAGTATGTATGTTAACTACTCATACGCATAGCTGAGTTCTTAGTTACTTGTAACCATTCAGAAAAAATGGTTGGAAGTCCTGGACAACTCAATTCACTGTGAATTGAGCAGCTGTTTCCACTTTTAGGATGGGTAGAACAGGGTAGAAAGTAACATTGAAAATAAACCATTATATAAATAAAGGTATTCTCACCTGGAATGCTATATTCAAATGTGGTCAGGCTATTGAGAAAAAAAATAGCACAAATAGAACATACACAGCTGTTGGGTGGTAGAGAAGAAGGTAAATGGGACACTACCGATCCTCCTGTCTCATAATACAAGAAAAAGGAACACTCAATGTGAAAGGCAACAGATTTAAAAGTAACGAAAGGAAATAATTACAACCAACAAAGGAGTAGGAAAAAAAGTTGTCTATAGGCTGGTCGATTTCATAATCTACTACATCTTCCTCTGAAGCATCTGGTACTGGTCACTGTCTGAGAGAAGATACTGGACTAAATAGATGGTTTATCTGGTATGGGAATTGCTACGTTTCAGAATGTTCAGCACCTGTATTTTACTCCTATCTGCTGCACGAAACCTTTAGCAGCACATGGATCTCTTAATACCAGATTAGGGCATTAGTTAAAGGAAAGATTCTCATCTTCTTGAGCATTAACATGAGGTTAAAACAGTAGTTCAGCTAGGTATTTACTAGAGATGGGACTGCACTGTGAAGTTTAGATGTGAATTTTCCTTAAGTTCTGGGGAGTTGAGAGAGGTTTGCAATTCGGGCCCATCTCTAGTGAGTTAGCTGCATGAGTTTTCAGGCCCATCTCCACGTGTATGTGTGTTAGTTGCGTGAGTTTTGAACTAGGACAAGAGTACTGTGTAAATACTATGGTCTAGTTAGCCCTCTTGGGGTTAAAAGTAGGGTGGATTTTAAGCCCTTTCCTGGGACTTGGTCATATTTAATGTTCCCACTGTTTTTTGCAAACATAGGAAATTGCCACAGCAATAAGATACAATCTTTCAAAAGCGATACTGAACATCTGTGGTGGAACTAAAGATCCCATGGCACTTTGAGAAGAGCTGTAACTCTGGAATTCTTGTCAGCATTTTTCTCCTCTAAGAGCTGTTTTCTTAAGTACTCAGCCTTTTGAGGTTGTCTGTATGAACACCGGCAGTGCAGTAACTGTATACAAACTCACTCTCTCCCAATATACTTTGGGACACCTGGCTATACAATAGTTTACCAGACTAGATTTTACTACCTATTTAAAAAGTTCATTTTGCCATCTCTCTAATGAACAGCACCTCATTCTCTTTCCTACAGGGGGTACTTAGGAAAAACTCATTTCTGAATATGAAGGTACAATGGGGAAGTACATTAACAGATAAAAATTATCAATTGCCATAGCTATTATCCATAGAAAACTTGACCCAAAAATAGGAATAGCAATGAGCTAATTCAGGCATTTCAGTGGGCTAAATTTAATTGTCGGGCACATGGGGCAGTAAATGGATTTCTGTGGAAAGTGTTTGATTAAACTTGACCTAATGCTTTCAAATTAAATATTAGTACAGAGTTCCAGGAATGTTTAGTTCAGAACACTGTAAAATACTTTGTTCAGAACACTGTAAAATAGTAGCTTGCCTTTTACTGACAAAGGATCTAAAAGTGCTTCATGATCTAAACAATTGACAATATATCTGCATGAAACAGCAATGGTTCAACAGTAGCCATGTGCAAGAGTTTAGGGTAGTAAATCCAAACAAACGCTTGCCTCAGTTGAATCTACAGGAGAATATTAAACCATGTGGAATTACCTAAATTGGCATTTTGCCATTTAGTACCTCCACTCCTACACAAAGGTCCCTGGGCTACAATCAGCCCTTTATGGTTGGATGCTGAGAATATAGTGAGGTGTATTAACAAAAGAAAGCTATTAGTCAGAGACACTTGCTTTTTTCAGTCATTTTCCAGCCCCTGGGCAGTAATTAGAGCATACCCTGAAGGACAGAGGCGAGTACACAGAGTGACAGATTCGGGAAGAATTGACTTTTGGTTTTTGTAACAATGAGCCTTGTCTGAGGATTTCCCCTGTGCAAGTCATTTCTGTACTTGTCATCATAGTGATAGTCACTCGCTATTGCTGCTGGAGCCTCAAACATTAAGGACGGGGGTGCGTGTGAGATCCC